CAGTTATAATTAAGATTAAGCAAAATTAATTAATAGTTTCTGATTATGAACAGAGTTTCTCTAACATGTTGAATATGAATGTGAGATATGATCCTACCCAGATGTGATATAAAGCTAATACATCACATCCTTTCACTTCATTGCTATTGACTCTGTCCAAAGAAATGATCAAAACAAATCCTCCTATCTCCTTGCACAACCATATTTCCTGATGATCAGGAAAGTCTTTGGATAATTCAAAATCTTAAACACTAGGATGAACTAAGATGAAATCAAGTTTGAAAGGTTAAGAAATTCTACTGAAAAATCTACTTTCAACTTTGGATTTTTTGTAAGTGGTTTATTTTTAGGATTCCTAACCTTGGCAAATTGTTTTGGTAAGGAAAGAAGATAAACCCATCTCATCATCATCCGCATATCCTGTAAAACCACCTTGATTCACTCATCATCATCCCCAAATCCTCAACAGTCCCATTGATTCATTGCTTGTTCATATCAATTATTTTATTTCATTTAATATGTACAATTGTATTTCCTTTTTCTGATTTGTATAGTTGTATATAAATTACTATACATAGTATGAATGAAATCATATTCATTTCTCTCATTTCTCTTATAATTGATAAGTGCATTTGTACACACTTATTGTAGGTCCAAACATGGATAATTGTTAATAAATATGTGGAATATAGATTAATTTGATGTAATTTGTGTTTTGCAGGACAACAATAATGACCGTGGCGAAAATTCGAAAAGCAAGCGAAAAACGACTAAAATGAAGCACAACCAAAGTTTGAGGACTCAAGTGCAGTTACTGAAAATATCAAAGTTTGAGGACTCAAGTGCAGTTACTGAAAAGTTGTGTCGATATCACGATGAAGATTTGAAAGTGCTGGACATCAATTGGATGAGGAAAGAAGCCAAATGGATGAAATATAGTGAAAGTACTATCACATATCAACTTCTAACCGAAAAAATTATGCTTCGAATTTTCAGTTTTAGTTTGAGACTCATTTTTGGAACATAAGACGTTCGAATTTGAAGATTTATAAGGAAGATTTGTATCCCTTTGAGTAAGCTTTTCAATGCAATTTGAATCACCTCAATCGAATATTAAGAGAGAAATATATAACCAAAACATTGAAGGCTGTCCGGTGAGAAAGTCACTCTACCATGCGGCCGCACACATGCAACCAGGGAATCAAGAGGAGAGAAATTTTTGTTCCATGCGGCTGCATAGAATATAACCGTGGGGCAGCATGGTTAATATTCGGCGCGAATTTTTTGGTTTCCTTTTCTTGTTCAACGTCTTATGGAAAGGAATTTAGGGCAACTATAAAAGCTAAAAGTAGTCCAGAAAAGAGGGTTATGCCACTTTAGAGAGGAAAACTCATTGAAAAGCAAAGAGAAGGCAAAATCAAGAGATTTCTACATTGAAAATTGAAGAATTCAAGATTCATATTCAAGTTTTGGGTGATGTCTTTTCCTAAATATTCTTATTGTTCTTTATTTTTATTCATACTAGGCTAGACTTTTTATATACTAGGTGAACGATGAACTTTGCAATATGATCTTTTAATTATCTATTTTGCAATTTGATATTCAAACACGATTGATGGATATTGAATGATTTATATACACTTTCTTGCCTCTATGATTAAATGCATATAATTATGTGAGTTTGCGTGATCTATTTTATGCATTCGAAAGAAGGGAAATAGATTCTATAAGGTATAAATCATTGTAGGATCCAATAGTGGATATGAATATACCGTTATATTTTACGTGAATCTCTAAATGTTTACAAAATATCATACATTCTTGTATATTGCATTTGTCATAGAAATATAGTCAAATTGTATATGAGAATAGGTTCAATCTTACTCAAAAGAGATTATTGGATAAGTTAGAAATATTGATTCGGGATCCTAGTACACTTTTCATTCATTAATTTCTTCAACTTTTTAGCATTCAAACGTTATTGTTGCATTTAGTTTGTTTAAATTGCATAATAGTCATAGTTTAATCGAAGAATCCTGAAAATTATCTTGAGTTTAATAGATTCGGTTACGGTCTTAATAATAGAGATCAAGTTAAATCAATCCTCGTTGGACGATATTCCAAATTTTATAATTTTCACTTTATTACTTGTTAACAAATCGTGCACTTGCGTTGATTTATAAAGCAAATATATTTTCGTGGACAAGTTTTTGGCGTTGTAGTGAGTATGGGTGTTGCTGTGATGTTCCGTCGGTGATAGGTGGTGGACTTGGCTGATTGAGATTATTTAGAGACAGTGGCAAATGGAACTGTAAGTCACTAGAATCTATAAGAAGTCTGTGTCACATTTGTGGTTGTAGGAGTAATGTGGGTTGTTGATGACGATGGCTTGTTGAAATGATTTGTGTGTTGTAGGCAGTCAAGCGGGGTGGAAAATTTAGAGAAGAAGATGATGAAAAGTCTGGAATTGTAATTGACACAAATGAAATGATAGGGTATAATTTACAAAAAATAAAAAATTGAGGACCACAACTGCAATTATCTCCTTTTGATTTTGGCTGTGTTTAATGTCATACTTTGAGAATATGGGGTTCTTTCGCATGCAAAAGGCCGTCTAAAGAGGTTTTTCGCCAATTTGAAAATATATGAAAGTATTTCGCAATAGAAACAAATGTGAGAAGGATTTTGCGTCAATTACCTTAAATTATTTATCACACACTTTTATATTTGTAACGTTTTAAGTTTTACCAATATCTTCAACTCTTAAAATTAAGGCCGTGTTTGATAGGCCACATTTTTCGGAGAAGTAGGAAAATATTTTTCACTTTCCACTTTTTTGGTTGTTTGATAGGCGAAAATTTCCGAGAAAAATATTTTCCGGATTTTTACCCACAAGTGTGCAATTTCTGGGTTTTTGATGAAAATGGTTTCCTGTCTTTTTGGTGGGAAAATATTTTCCAAGCTAGCTGGAATTTTTTTTTTTTTTTTTGGTAATGGAAACAAATGTCATAACTAATGGTAAAAAAAAATTTCACTTTAATGGACAATTTTCATGTAAAATAAAGTCAAACGAACACTAAACTTTGATATAAAAAAATGATTTTTTAGGAAACAATTTTTTTTCCTTTTTTTTTTTTACTTTTTGGCAATGGAAACAAATTTTATAACCAATTGTGGAAAAAATATCACTTTAGTGGACAATTTCCATGTAAAACAAAGCCAAACGAATAGAAAATTTAAAAATTTTCCGGGTGAAAAATTATACCAATCAAACACACTTGAAATCATTTTCCCTATAAAACATTTTCTAGGCAAATCTTTTCCATGTAAAACATTTTCTTTTCACCCATTTTCCATCATTGCAATCAAACGCACCCTAATTGTATCCCCAATTGTTGTAGGAATTGTTGACCCAAAAAAAAAAAAACTTAGGGGCCGTTCTCTTTGTGTTTTAGTTTTGTGTTTTGAGTTTTGAATTCATTTTGTGTTTTGTGTTTTGAGTGTCTGTTTTAAAATTTCTGAAAATGCGTTTTTTTTGCCATTCTGAAAAATTGTTTTCAAAAACATAAAAATGGAAAACGCGTTTACTTTGAAATTTTGAGAATTTGTTTAATAATATTTTATTCAAAAAAAAACTGATTATTCAATAAATTTTAATTGCTTAATGTTAATATAGTATTAAATAACATATACAATTTAAAATTGGTGAAACGTCAATTTTTTTTTCAAGATATTAAAAACACAACCTAAATTACATTTGATGAAACAGTTCAATCGATACGATTAGAAGTTTACGTGTCATGACAAAATAAGTAGTGTTTTATTGTATTTGTTTTGCACATTTTTAATACTTTTATGGTCCTCACATATCTGATGGAGTCTGCATCGTCCCGAGTTGTTAGAATGTTCTTTTTCATTCTAATACAATTATCCATAATCATACGGACGTTCTTAAAAAAAATGTCACGCTCTACGTGTCACAAGATATTGAATGATTTGTTATATAGAGCGTTCTAATTGAAGAGGCAAGTTGTTGAGTTATCTTTTCATTTATCTCATGCTATTAAGTCGTAAAGGGGACACCCACTTTAGTCCACTAACCAGAACACCATTCAACTTAAATATAGTGAAAATAAAATGAAAAAAATATAGAATTCATTAAAATTTGGTTAATTGCACCTTGATGAGTGCATTTTGCACGAGCATCATACGTGATCTATCTTGAGTAGCTAGAACACATCACCGTTGTTTTTATTTTTTGGGAGTGGCATCATCATTGGCTGCTCTCCTCATAGGCTATACGACATATCGAGTTCTATCAAAATCTACTAAAAATCTCATTTTAATTTACACCAAATAGGGGATAAGTTATAATCCCCCTATGTACAGTTCAAAAACCGAGAGTAAGGATCAAAACCAGTAATTTCTCTCACACCAATACAATCAAGACATTCTGATGCATCAAATTGTCGAAGTTTACAAATCAGTACAATGGTGACTCGGCTAAACATTGGCATAACTCATGGTGGCATGGCAAATAAAACATTCTTGTGAAGAAATGAGAGATGGCTTGGCAAAACAAAACTTTACA